CATCCTTCAGGGCTCAGCTGTAATCTTGCCCTTCTCCATGAAATCCTTCCTGACTCTATCAGTGCTCATCGATCATCCAGTCTCTGAATGTTTACAGCCCTCTATTCAACCAACATGTTTAGTCCTTGATGTTGACTAGTTTTGTATTGCAGGCTCTTACTAAGTGTGGCCACAGTCTAAACTCCCTTAGAGCAATGCATTTCTACAATACATCTCTTAGAATTCTGAAACACACCAAGGACAGTGCCAGACTCTCTTCAATAAATTACTTTAATAATTGTGAGTGATTCACTCATTTACTTAAAGAATATTCCTGTGGAAATTATGTCAACCAGAAATTTTGGGGAGTGCTACAGTCCAATTAATTAAAATTTCAGGTTAGCTAAGAGATGCATGAGAATCCTTTCTCTGCGTTAATTGAGAAAAGTTCTCTGAAGTGCATTTGCTCCTTTTCCTGTCTAAGGTAAGGCTTGCGAGTTATTTACAGAGCTGGGGTCAACTCACATGTCTTCTCAGGAAAGCCTTCCATTGTGTTGTAACTGGAAGTAATTTCACCCTCTGAGTTCTCAGTGTACTTGATGACCATCACATGAATATTGTCCTATTTGTTTTTTCTTGTAGTATGTTTATTAGCCACATTTAATACTATCAATAATAAATTGTCCTGATGCAGAAATGTTTCTCCTTTATTTAACTTTTTTATTTTTCAGTGAGCCTGCCATACTGTCATGAACATAGGAAGGATTAAAACATTAGTTGAATAAAGTGAGACTCAAAGAAGGGAAAAAGTCATCATTTTGAATATCAAAATCAGAGATTTATTTTTATTAATCCTCACCCCAGGAAATTTCCCTTTTGACTTTTAGATAGAGTGGAAGAGAGGGAGAGGGAGAGAGAGAAACCTCAATGTGAGAGAGACACATTGATTGGTTACTTCAGGGTGGGGGATTGAACCTGAAATCCCAGGAATCAAACCTGAACCTCTTGATCCACCAGCGGAAGCTCCAACTGCTGAGCCAAACCAGCCAGGGACAAAAATCAGAGATATTTTTAAGAGGTTATAGAATTTGAGGTTAAATTTGTAGCATCACCAAGACAAATTAATTTTTACATTATATTGTGCTTATTTTAAATTATGGCATGTTCTTTGTTAGAAAAATGAGCTACATTAAATCCATTTAATTGTGTGTTTGTTTTCTGACTGAGATTTTTTTACCATATTATTTCTAAACTTTCCTCCATGACAAAAACATCATTTTTACTTTAATTTCTAATATTTTGTCACTGTTAAGTCTTCATTTGAACTATCTTAAAATTAGTCCCAGCTATAATTTATATCTGTGAAGACAATTTGTAATATATATAGTTTTTCAAATCTGGATACTTTAAAACTGCTATATACATTGTATACAGAATTTGATTTTTTTTTTTAAAGCACACGAGCTTTAGCTGATAGATATGCTGTCTACATAAACTATTACCTAGTTTGTTTTTTTTAATATTAAAAACATTACAAAGAAAATGTAAATTTGAAGTAGCATAGTATACATTTTTGGGGGGATGGTTTCATACTCCTCACTTTTTTTTCCCCCCAGAACACCAAGAAATATTTGGTGTGAGAAGCATGATAAAGAATAAAAAGATAGGGCAAGAACCACTAGCAGAAGAATGACTGGCTGTGTTACCAATGAGCACATATCCCTAAAGGAAAAGTACTAGGAATTAGAAGATCACGCCTCTTCCGCACAGTATGTGAAACAGCAATAGTAATATCAGCCTCCCATTTGACAAATTTGTGATTAAAAAAATAAGAGATTTTCAAGAGAAATCCTTGAAAATGTTAAAGTATCATACAAAGAAAAAAATTTGACATTTAAAATTTTACTTTCAAAACGTTTCCACAGATGCTAGCACATTTAAGTCATAAGACAATTCTTTGAGGTAAGCTTTATACTTGCTATTTTATTGATGTGTGGCAAGTTAAATTACTCATCCAAGTTGGTTTGGAAATAGCAATTCAAAGAATAAAAAAGTGAGCCGCCCCCTTCCGCACGGTCACGTTGAGTTAGCACCTCTGCCCGGGATCCCGCCGCAACCCTAGCGGTGCCCGCCGCCTCCCGGCCATGGACCCTGCAAAGTGAGCGAGCTTCGGGCCTCGGGAAAATGTGTAAGCAGGATCCGAGCGTTCTGCGCACCGAGGAAATGCGCTCCCTGGGGGAGTGGGTGGAGAGCATGGGAGGTAAAATACCACCTGCGACTCATAAAAGTAAACCAGAAGAAAATAAGGAAAAAAAACAAAAACAAAACAAAACAAAAAAACCAGACAGTAAGAAAGCAGAGGAAGACATAAAGATAGAGACAGATGAACCATCAAGTGAGGAAAGTGATCTAGAAATCGACAATGAGGGTGTGATTGAACCAGACGCTGATGCCCCTCAAGAAATGGGAGATGAAAATGTAGAGATAACCGAGGAGATGATGGATCAGGCAAATGATGAAAAAGTGGCTGCCATTGATGCCCTAAATGATGGTGAACTATAGAAAGCCATTGAGTTGTTCACTGATGCCATCAAGCTGAATCCTTGCTTGCCATTCTGTATGCCAAGAGAGCCAGTGTCTTCGTCAAGTTAAGAAACCAAATGCTGCCACCCGAGACTGTGACAGAGCTATTGATGTAAATCCTGATTCAGCTCAGCCTTGGAAGTGGCGAGGGAAAGCACACAGACTTCTGGGCCATTGGGAAGAAGCAGCCCACGATCTAGCCCTTGCATGCAAATTAGATTATGATGAAGATGCAAGTGCAGTGCTGAAAGAAGTTCAACCAAGGGCTCAGAAAATTGCAGAACGTCGGAGAAAGTATGAGCGGAAACGGGAAGAGCAAGAGGTCAAAGAAAGAATGCAAAGGGTTAAGAAGGCTCAGGAAGAACATGGGAGAGCACAGAGGGAAGAAGAAGCCAGATGACAATCAAGAGCTCAGTATGGCTCTTTTCCAGGTGGCTTTCCTGGGGGAATGCCTGGAATGGCAGGAATGCCTGACTCAATGAAATTCTTAGTGCTCCAGAGGTTCTTGCAGCCATGCAGGATGCAGAAGTTATGGTGGCCTTCCAGGATGTGGCTCAGAACCCAGCAAATATGTCAAAATATCAGAGCAACCCAAAGGTTATGAATCTTATCAGTAAATTGTCAAGCCAAATAAATTATCAGTCAAGTGTAATGCCCTTCTAACAGATATAGCCCTTGCTGAAGGAAAAGCAACTTGGATCACCCCATGGATGTCGCAATAATACAAATCAGTGTACCTCAGGCCTTCTCATGAAGAAAGCTGGGGTGCTTTGAAGAGAATCCCTACCCCTCTGACCCAAATGCAACTGTAACATTTTACAGTGGTTTGCCATTATGGTATTTGTTCAGATAATGTTTTCCTACTAGGAGTTATAAAGTTTAAACACTTTTAAACCTTAAAAATATTTAAGAAAAAACAAAAACAAATTAAAAGGGTGTGTTAAACCCTACATTTTTCTTTACTAATCATTTTGGTGTTTTTTTTTTTAATTAATTGGGCAAAAGGTACTTCAGTATGGAAGATTTATTGCTCAATTTGAGTGAAATAAAGGTTTATTAGTGGGAAGCGAATATAACATTTAACTAGATAAAATTTGAGTTGGATATATGGTTACCTCAGTAACCATATACTGTAACCATTTTGATTTCTCTTTTTAGATGCTTTATTTTTTAAGAAATGATTTATTTCAATAAAACTACTGGGACCACCGGTACAGCAGCAGGACCTGGGTAGGGACTGGAAGTACTAGGCAGGGCAGCAGCAATGTTACTACATTTTATAGAACAGGTACCCTTATGCAGATGCATTTAAATCTTACACTGTGGTGAAGGGATAATTTGTATAATGCTGCAGTGGAGTTGGATTACTTAGCTCTGTTCTTGTCTGATATAAAATATAAATGTTTCATATTTCCACATAGGGGAAATAAGGGAATACTTTTCTTTTTATATTTATATGTTTAAAATGACTATTTCTGGTAAAAAAAAAATGCCTAACTCTTTGAGCTTTCTACTTGTTTTTACACCCCCCCCCCCCCATCCTTGGACTAAAGAAGAGTCCTTTTTCACCAGCATCATCACTGCTATCATTCACAGCAAAATTGTGCAAGCCTATTTAATGCTGGGTTTAATTTAATATGTAATACCTGTAGTGACTGTGTAGGGTAATACCTGTAACAGCTGTAGTTTCCTACTTGGCCAAGAGATTCATATTTACGTGTTAGATTTCTACTTCAGTGAAATCCTATCGAAAGATGGTGGAAGGAAGAATTCCCTTTGGTGTTTGGTCTTCTGCTTAGGAAATACTAATTGACTTTATCTTTGTATTTTGGAGAGAGTATGAGGTTGAAATAATTGAGATACATAGAGGGGAACCTAAGTTTTTGATCCAGCATGAATGATAAAAATGATGACATCTGTAGTTTTTTACTGTAGATTGTTGGTATTGTAAAAGATTCATTGTTCTCCTGTGTGATTCTTAAATACTGCAACCCTATTTCCACCTCTTTTCTTCTCCAAGAATAAAGAAAAGGATGAATTTTTTTTTTTTTTTTTTGCATATTCAATTCCTATATTAAATAAGACTAAGTCCAGACACTGTACCAGGGATTTCTAGGTTTCTACCTAGAAATTAAAATGCTGTTTAAAAGCAGTTTCGAGGAATGAGGCCTTATGTACTTTACTTATTTGAAGAATCAATGGTAAGAGTGGTAAAGTAAATTCCATGGAATATAATTTTGAAATGGCACATATCTGAAATCATAAGTCAGTTGAGGTTCTAATCCTTTGCTGTACACAAGCAGATAAAAATGCATCTGTTAATTTAAGTGAGAAAAAGCTGCATGCTAATTGAGCATGCTTTCTAATCCCTTTAAAAATACTCAGCGTATAAACTAGCGTTTGAGCTCTTCCGGGGACGTGGACCTCAGGCGCTCACAATGATGCAGCGTTTGACATACCGTCGGAGGCTGTCCCACAATACAGCCTCTAACAAAACTAGGCTATCCCGAACCCCTGGTAATAGAATTGTTTACCTTCATACCAAGAAGGTTGGGAAAGCACCAAAGTCTGCTTGTGGCGTGTGCCCAGGCCGACTTCGTGGAGTTCGTGCTGTTTGTGCCGTGAGACCTAAAGTCCTAAGGAGGTTGTCTAAAACGAAAAAACATGTCAGCAGGGCCTATGGTGGATCCATGTGTGCCAAATGCGTCTGTGACAGGATCAAGCGTGCTTTCTTTATTGAGAAGCAGAAAATCATTGTGAAAGTATTGAAAGCACAAGCCCAGAGTCAGAAAGCTAAATTAAAAAAATGAATCTTTTTTGAGTAATAAAAGAAATTACAAGGCAAAAATAAAAAAAATAAAAAAAATAAAAATAAACTAGCGTTTGCATTTGCCCGTGTTCTTTTTGTTAACGTGTGTTCTTTTTCTCAAAATTTCCAGTGTACGCTGTGAATAAATCAAGAAGACCAGTTGCTTTTGAATTCCTGATTTGGTTTGATTTACTTAACTGTACATTACCTAAGTACATTCGAATATTGCAAATATTAACTATAAATCGATCAAAGTAAAATTGGTCTTCTGAAAATGTGTTCTGTGCTTTTAGACTTTTAACTTCCACAAATAAAAACTACATTCATTTTCATAGAAAAAAATAAAAATAAAAAAGTATTTGAACTCATCTAGTTTTCTTTTCACTATTTACAGTCTACCTTTTTTATACTACTACTAATTCTATTAATAATAAACATAAATAGTTCAAACCACTTCAGCCATATAACCATACCCTGGTCCTAGCTAATTACAGAGTAAGAATAGAGCATAATGAATAACAGAGGTGACAATGTATGCTCTCTAGGCAGTGGTACACTGAACCTTTTTGGAAAAGCACTCTGAGTTGTAGTGTGTGCCAATTTGCATGGTGTAAATACTTTCACCAGGGCCGATTCAAGCCACCATTGTGTTGCCACATTATAAACAGGTTGCTGAGAAGAGATAAGATGTGCATAATTGATGATCACATAAAAAATTAGGTTTGCTTTTGGAGGGCATAAAAGGTCCTGCCTTGGGCAGATCCACAGGCATATATAAGTAAATATAACAAGAGAAGATGTCTTTTTAGGAAGAGAGCAGCTTGAGGATCTCACTAGCATCACAGAGACTCTCAATAGAAGAAAAGTTCACCTAGATTCAACCAGTGCACCAATCTTGGGTTGGAAGGAGCACTTTATCCAGTAAAAAGAGGGGAGAGAGAACTCTGTACACAGCTGGAAGTCATTGGGGCCAGGGCTGGGACACAGACCTAAGAGATAAAGAGGCCTCTTACTAGAAGTACATGCCCCCCCCCCCTCAAGTTCTATTGATGTATAATTAAAAAATAAAATTGTGTGGCTCAGTGGTTGAGTATTGACCCATGCACCAGGAGGTCACCGGTTCATTTCCGGTCAGGGTACATGCCCAGGTTGTGGGCCAAATCCCCACTGGCGGGCAAGCAGGAGGCGGTCAATCGATGTTCTCTCTCACTGATATTTCTATCTCTCTCTCCCTCTCCCTTCCTTTCTCTCTAAAATCAATAAAAAAGAAAAAATAAAATAAAATTGTATGTATTTAAAATGTGAATGCAACCATTTGATATATGTATGTATACATTTTGAAATAATAACCACAATCAAGTTAACACACCCATCAACTCCCATGATTTTTTGGCGGAGAGTGGTGAAAATGCTTAAGATTTACTCTCTTAGCACATTTCAAAATACAACAGTATTATTACCTATAGTTACCATGCTGTACACTAGATGTTTACAATGTATTCCTCTTATAACTAAAAGTTTATACCCTATGACCAACACTTGTTCCTAATTCTGCCATGAGTTTCTATGAATTTGACTTTTCAGTTTTAGATTCCATGTGAAAATGGTACTAAACAGTAGTATTTGTCTTTGTCTGGCTTATTTCACTTAGCATAATGCCTGAAGGTCCATCCATGTTGTTACATACGGCAGAACTTCCTTCTTTTTTATAGCTGAATAAAAAATATATATTTATAGTTTATATATATATATATATATATATATATATATATATATATATATATATCTCACATTTCCTTTGTCTATTCATTCACTGATGGACACATATGTTGTTTCCATGTCTTGACTATTGTGAATAATGCTGCAAGAAGATGGGTGCAGATATCCCTTTGAGATACTGATTTTGCATCCTTCAGATATATTCCCAGATGTGGAATTGCTGGATCATATCATGCTTCTATTTTTATTTTTTGAGAAAATTAGATATTTTTCTTATAATAGCTGTACCAGTTAACATTCCCACCAACAGCACACAAGTTTTCTTTTTCTCCAAATCCTCACCAGTACTTATCTGTTTTCTTGATAAAAGCCATTCTACCAAGTGTGTGTTAATATCTCATAAAAGTGTTCTTAAAATGATATATGTATGAAAAATTAGATATAATCTCTCTATAAGCATTATGGGCAGAGTATTTAGAAAAGGGATATTTCTGTGCTGTCCAGAAAGTGAACTTGTAATTCTGAGAGGAGGCCCAAGCCACACCAATGATGGTGAGTCCTTTCTCATCTTAAGCAACAAATCTGAGCCTTTGTAGCATAGGGTGAGTGGTGTAATGGCTATAAACATGATTCTTTACTCTGAGTGCGGTCTTTCTAGTCAGTACACATCACCGAGCTCAGGTTGAGTGCGATAAGACCTACCTCTCAAGGTCACTGTGAGGATAATGCTGCATGTGAAACATTTAACAGTGTCCATAACAATTAAGAGCACATTATATCATTTATATTATGTCCAAGAATTCTAATAAATTCTAAAAGTTTTTTTTTCAAGTGATGGTGGATGTTGAAAATCAAAAATATTTTTAATATCCACAATTTACTTCTATAGCTCCTGGTTTCTCACTTTGGATTATAGAAAGGAATCTATTGTTAAATTCATTAAAATGGGAACATTCCAACTAGCAAAGTAACAGGATTATATATGCTCCCTAGTTGTTAATAATTTACCACAAATTTAAACTTATTAGTTATTCCTCAGATAGTTTTCCAAATGCATTATTTATGGGGTCTTTCCCCTTTGATGGACTACAGCTGTCATATTAATTTTTAATCATATTGTGAGTTTTTGTAAGTAATTCTTAAAGCCAGGTGAATAAAAAGAGGAAGATCTCTAGGAAATAGCATTACAAGGTATTCTGTTTCTAGGAACACATTTACCATTCACTCTCTACAGCATATATCAAAATGATTTAAAGGAGGTTAGTTAGGAAATGTCACATAACCAGCTTCTCTATGTAAACTTAGAGCTTATTTATGGCACTAAGTAAAGTTCTACATTCTGTGCCTTTAAAGAAGCAGCCAGGAAATGAATATTTATGATCCTGACACTGCCCCACACTTGTTTTCCTCTAGGCTTTTCCCCAGCCCAGAGGAGAACATGAAAACCTACATTCTCTGCAATCTGCCAAGTGCTAAAACTACTTCCCCCCAAATGTAGTAAAAAATTATCTTAGTATTAAAATGCATAAATTGGAGGGATCATAAAATGAAAAGTTCAGGAGCTCTAAGGAATTAATAATAGGGCTAACTCTCCGTTCACTCATTTTTACCTGAAAACACCCCACTCATGTTCACACATAAAGCACCTCATTATCAAATAAACTGCAGACAGATATTTCAGGTGCAAGTTTTCAGAAGTTGAATATTATTTCTGCATTTGTTTATTTTTCTTTTTGTAGACTAAATAGCACAAATCTGCCCTGGTCGGTTTGGCTCAGTGGATAGAGAGTCGGCCTGCAGTCTGGAGAGACCTGGGTTCGGTTCCCGCTAAGGGCACGTACCTTGGTTGCAGTTTGTCCCTGGCCCTGGTTAGGTCGTGTGGGTGGCAGCCACTTGATGTGTCCCTTTCACATCGATATTTCTCTCTCTCTCTCTCTCTCTCTCTCTCTCTCTCTCTCTCTCTCTCTCTCTCCCCCCCCCTCCCTCCCACTCTATCTGAACAAAATCTCGAAAAATGTCCTCGGGTGAAAATTAAAAAAAAAAAGCACAAATCTGTGAAATACAAATCCTTTCAAAAACGTTTTTGTTTAAGCACACTCTATGATTCGGTATGAAAAAAAAATCACATTTACACATTGAGTTAAAATCAGCAATGCTGGAGAGTTTCCTGAAAAATAACGATTGTGATGTTATCTGCACAATAGAGTTATAAGAACCAAATGATGATGTGACAATGTGAAGTCCTTGTGAGGAATTGTTAGGTTTTTACTATGTGTGTGAGACTGAATTTAAAACAAAACACAAGAATAATACCTTGACCAAGAGGGTGTAGCCCAGAAAGAAATGATAGTGCATTGAAAATCCATATATGATTGGATCCTTTGAAAAAATAGTCATTCCTAAAGTACTCCTAAAAGCACATAGAATCTCAATGGACAGCACAGAGCAGCAGACCCTATTGCTATATTTAGAAATAGGTATGATTCAGTCACTCAGTCCTTTGATGTATAAGATTTTAATAAAGTTAAAAATGACTTTTTTTTATAGTGTTTACCTTTAGTTTTCCTGTTTCTTCTATAGAAGTTTTGTTGTATTGACTGGTTTATTTAACTAATCATATAGGTCACTTGCATACTTGGCTTTGCATCTAATATGTTGTCAGAATCTCATCTTTGTGTGTATATTCCCTTGGAGAAAAAAGATCGGTCCACAGAACAAAGCTCCTGAGCAGACTGAAGCAATGCTTCTGGTATGAATCACTTGGGGAAAGGAGCTAAAATGGATTCTGATTTAGTTGGCCCAGGATGGGACCTGAGGTTTGGCTCAGGTTATGCTGATGTTGCAGGTCCACATCAGATGGAGTAGGAGGGACTAAAGTGGATGCGATCCTGCGTGGTCCATCCCTCCTAATGGGGGAGGACACAGATGGTTTGCTGCAGAGGCTGGTAAGTGGTGGGTTTGGCAGTGGGTTCGTGAGAACACAGGCATACTGAACTCCCCTGAGTTCCCTAACTGAGGAGGATTAATTGACTCACTGTAATGTAATTTCCACAGGTTTATTTTGTAAATAGAGTGGTCTAATTATTTTGAGTATTAACCAAGTGCCTAATGTGGGCTTTGTGTTAGATTACTCTCAAGTAATGTCTTTGGTGAAACAAGGATATTGCTATGTTTACTATCTAGCACTGACATATAGCAAGTGGCACCTGGAGCCTGAGAGGAGACAGACTACCTGTTGACTGCTTGCATCTCTATCTGGCCCAAAGACAACGGGTTGGAGAA